CCCCAAAACCCCAAAACCCCAAAACCCCAAAACCCCATGTTAAAAGATCATTTTTAATACAATTTTGATTTATTTAAAGATACTCAACAATGAAGTTTTTATTGGAGAAATGCTCTTCAAAGAAAGTGAAGACAAGTCTTTATAAAGTTAAAGATATTAACGAGATCGACAAGAGATCTTATAAAACTCACCTAGAGATGTTAAGAAACAAATCCAGAATAAAAAGAAATCGTAAGGAAAAGTAAGTTCAACCACTTTCTCTTCTAAACCATACACAACTAAAATCCCCACTAACCCAAAACCCCTCTCTTCCCTAACTGGCCCAATTCACACCTACCCCACTTTTCCCCTAGCTCCTCCTTCCGATCTTTCAACCCTCCTCTCTTTCCCACAGACCCTTCTTCTCTACTTTTCTATTCAAAACCCCGTTTCTTTGCCCTCATGCTGACCCCTTTAGAAAGCTGAACAGTGAGAATGTGCTAAGAGCCAAGAGGATCGAGAGAAAGAAATAATAACATGTTTAAGGACAAATTATTACTTGATAAGGAGTACTTTTAGCCAGAAAGCGATAGAGGCAACCAAGGGGAGAGCCCGATTGTCAAACAAGCTAGTAGAAAAAGCAGTAAGACAATACTTTTATATTTTGCTGTTTCTTGGAGTAAACCGATTATCCTCTTTTTGAATTCTACTATTATCTTCAGCATAAGTATTAATAACTATATTTAATTAAGAATGATTCATTAGAAGAGGAAAAAGGAGAGTTTGACCATATCTTTGTCCCTTTTCCTGAACAAAATGGCAAAATTACTCATGCCAGGGGACGACTAAGTACTAATGAGATAAGTATTCCTCCTCAGAGAAACGATCCAGGAGATGTGACACCAAACTCCCATTCTCAAGAAGTCAGGCCATCTCCTGAAGAGCCCAACTCAATAAGACCCTCAGTAAGATTGAACAATGACAGACATGTGAACGATAGCAGCAGCAGGCTATTTGAAGATTTCAGTGATTTGAATTTTGCCCAAATTACAAATCATTTCGATTCTTTCACCCATAATCATTCTTTCTAATCTTTCTTGACCTATGGACTTTTCATGATTTCTGAAATCTTTCACAACAATAGACGTAACGCTTATTTGGTGCCTCAGATTAGTTCTATCCTATAACCCTGGGGCTGACTCATGCTAGAGAGAATGCCTCTCTCAGCAGAATTAAGGAGATTTAGAAGTCAACATTTTGTCAATAGAGGAGTTAGTCAAATATTTCTAAAAGCAAGCCTAATGGACTCAGGTTATATTTTAAGTGGGGATTTTCGAATATATTTTTATATTAAGATTAGAGAGCCTTTTAGTTTAACTTGGTTAAGGCTCTTTCAAGGGATTTAAAGGTGCTGAATTATCACGATATTACTATTTTCATTTCCTAAAATTGTAGCAGTTCTTCTTAGAAATGGTGTTAAATTTATACATAATTTTAATTAAGATAGGAGTATGAGAGATAGCTAGATGAGGTCTTCATTTATAGGATTTTTCTTGGTAGCAAGCTGTCTTTTCACAAGCTCATCGGCTAATTCATCAGAAGCATCCTTGTAGGTTTTATGCACTGGGTCGGCTAATCTGCCCAGAGTGGTATCCCACCTCTTGCTCTTTTTGAAGAGGGATCTGCTTTTTGAGTTATTTCAACATTACTGGCTGCGAAAATACAGTTTCTGTATAATATTGGAGCTATACTTACTTTTACTTCTAAGAGATATTTCACTGTTCATATCAGGAGGAGCAGTTATATTTAAATATTTTCCAGGTAAATACTTCCCTCTTTCTCTTTGCCTCGACCTTTCTTTACCTTGGATCAAGTCATGTAACTTCATTATTCGATAATTTCCTTGGTTTGGGGAATCTTCATGATATTTCTCTCTAAGTCGATCAAGTTTTTGATCAATAAAGGCTTTGGACTCTATATCACAATCCAATTTCTTCTGATCAAATCTTTCCCTCTTGATTGTCTATTTAATTACCATTACATAATACCTTATTCAATAGCTCTCCTTTCTCTCTACGAAATTTCTCCTTCAGCTTTGTATATTCTTGGTCAAGTATTTCTTCTCTTCTCTAAAGCTTAGCCAAGACCTACATCTGGAAGGATTGTTGGAACTTTATCAACGGATAGATTAAAGTATGGATTGAACTCAATATCTTCAGATTTCTGCTCTCTTGGAATTACTGGCTCTAACAACATCTTCATCCTGAGCTCATGGTCTAAATCTCATATGGTGTTAGATACCTGTTGGGATTTTATCATGTTTTTCATAAGCAAATGGCTCTTCGTCATATTTATTTATACTGTTTCATTGTATCACTAACTTTGTCGTAGTAGTTCAAAGTCTTGCTTATATTCACCCTCGAGTCTAGTCCAGGCGCATAAGTGGGAGGATCGTTCTAGACTAATTGGAGAGCTTACTTGTGACTGCGGGATTTTCATTAAATTCTGTTCTAGCTCCTTGATTCTTTTATTTTTGCACATCTATTATATAGACAAGTTTTTCAATTTTGAGCTCTTTTTCTCGCAGAAGATTGATCAAGTTGAGGTTTCTTTCTTCAACTTCTCTCAAACCGTTGTAACCTTCCCTACTAAATCCTATACAGAAATTATTCCACAATTTTTAAAGAAAATATAATAGTTTCTCACTTAATTTCTCTTCGATTTCTCTATCATGGACTGGATGGCGGTTATATTTCCATTTCTTCAACTCCTCGCTTCCCTTCCTGGCAAGATTGCTTCGACTTCTGGGCACTGTTTTATCCAATGTTTCCCTGATTTCCCTTCTATGCTTATGTTCTCTAGGTTCAGGGATGAAATCATCGTTAAAGTATCGGTCGATTGTTTTAAAGTTCTTGACAAAGTCATAGCCTTGATCAACTCTATCCTCAGCTTTGAGGTATTCAGACATTAGAGTAGTTTAAACTTTCAATTTAATATACATCAAATGGGGTTTTGGGGTTTTGGGGTTTTGGGGTTTTGGGG